TCGACGAGCGGTACTAGTGTCGCTGGTGGAAAAGGACAAGGATCGGGTGATAATCAGTTATACTACCCCCAAGGCGTTTCTGTTTCGAAGAACACAGGCGATATTTACATTGCGGACACGTACAACCATCGAATACAGAAATGACGTGTTGAAGCGACGAGTGAAGTGACCATTGTCGGTACTACTGGAGTGTACGAATGTACTACAATGTTACTCTACGATCCTGCCAGCATCACGTTAAGTCTGAACGAGACCTTTCTCTATGTAGGGGACTTGAATAATAACCGTGTACAGCGCTTTCAACTTATTTAATAAATACACACTATAGTTGTATATACTTAGGGTATACCAAAAGTTCTGATCACAGTTTTTAAAATTTAATAAAGCAATAAATATTGAATATTTTACTAAGGCAATATATAGTATAACGTCTCGTCTTTAATAATATATAGAGCAACTCTCTCTTAGACTTAGTTCTAACATCCTTTCAGACTAAATCTATAGTATTTATAGCCAAGAAAAGATCATGCCAACATAAAACCACAATACAGAAACGAAGAGACATTCGTTATTTTATTTTATTAAATGCTCAAAATAATCACCATTATTTTCGATACAAAGTTTCATTCTTTCTAACAGTGTATCGAAAGTCTTTTTAAACTCGTTTATTGGAATATTCTTCACTATGGTGGAAACCTCTTGAGCTAATGATTCTTCGTTTGTGTGATCCGTCAACTTGTTCTTGATATAATCATTTAGCCAAAAGTCACACGGTGCGAGATCTGGTGAATATGGTGGATGTGGAATGATTTCGATTCCTTCCTCCATTAAATAATCAATAACATCTGGATGAGTATGAGGAGGACCATTATCATGAAGCATTTTATATGTAGTACGTGATGACTTTTCCTTTTTTCTTATTTCATTGATAACAGGTATAAGACAATTATCAATATAGTAGTCATGATCGATTGTCTTGCCCTTATCTACTTTGTGTATGAGAAGAGAATCAGTGGATTTGAAGAAGAAGCAAAATAGTGTTCTAGGTTCAAATCTATTCCGACGAACAATGGTTCTTGGTAGTTCATTTTCGCCAACCCAAGTAGCATTGCTTGACTTTCGACCAATCTGCCTGTGATAAATCCATGTCTCATCACCAGTAATAACATCACATAAATGCCATGTTCCATTTCTAAATTTCTCTAAATTTTGACGACAAATTCTAAGTCGTTTTTGTTTTTGTTCGTCAGTAAGTTGATGAGCAACCCAACGTGATGTAACTTTTCTCATCTTTAGACGATCATGAATAATTCGTTCTATTGTACCACGTGATAGATCAGTCTCACCCATAATATCATCATAAGTTGAGTGTGGATCATCTTCGATAACTTGTCGAACGCGTTCAACATTTTCATCTGTAAGTACCGAAATCGGACGACTAGATCGAGGATCATCAGTGACATCGTCTCTTCCTTCACGAAAACGTTTCGCCCATCTTCTGACTGTTGGATATGATGGAGCATCAGGTCCCAATGCCTCTGTAAGTTCGTCAAAGATTGTTTTTGAATCTATTCCCAAAATAGCTCGAATTTTGATATAATATCGATTGAATTCATCAGTCATGTTTAATGTCTTCTTTTAAGATTGAAATCAAATTCTATTACGATTTTAAGTCGAGTACGGTACAAATGAACTAACAGCGAACGACCTCTCATTTATATATACTATCGAAATGTAATATTCTAGAACATGACGTCATAAAACGTGACGAGAGAGTGACCAATAGAAAGTTCCAGAATGTACCTGACCATTGAACAAGAATTAATAATATTTGCATTGTCTGTAAAATTGTAGATTTAGTCTGAAAGGATGTTAGAACTAAGTCTAAGAGAGAGTTGCTCTATATATTATTAAAGACGAGACGTTATACTATATATCGCCTTAGTAAAATATTCAATATTTATTGCTTTATTAAATTTTAAAAACTGTGATCAGAACTTTTGGTATACCCTAAGTAAAAGCACACAATAAACATGCTATAAAATTGTACAAAAGTGAGAAAATTTTCATAAGAAGGTGTTTGATTTTAGCAAGTCAGAAATAATAAAGTTGACGTGATTCCATTGGGTCACTCTAACAAAGAAAAAAAACCAAGTATGTTGTCAATGCATAGATATTGCCGTTTGAATGTATTGAGAAACTCAGACTAGTGTTAACATTTACTTTTCAGAAACTCTCAAGATCAATGTCTAACGGTTGGTTTATCCCCTGGTCGATTATAAGTACAAAAATAAATTAGTCAGCTTTCTTACAGAGACTCCTTTTTTTATCAATCCATTTTAAAATTATTGTCTAAAAGATCATAAATGCACAAGTTCACGGTGAAATATTGGCCTCGATAACGTAAACAAATAGAAGCTTATACATGAACTGAAGGGACCGAGGGTGGGGGTGTAGATGATTTCATCACACTCACCCACCCACACCCTTCTAACCGGCGTTATAAGGGCTCATGGTGATTGTCAAAACTGTATAACTGAGTGCACGAGAAGACTATAGATGTAAACTTTTTTCACAGACGAGTGTGACTACGAAGCTAGTTATGTGACCGATAGGATCACGATAACCTACGGTGATCGCCGCTAACTGCGCACTACTGGTTATCCTGAGTTTCAATGAGTTGGTCGAATGGTACACACCCTCTGTACGCTAGCAAATTTCAGTTATATGAACATACTGACGTTGGTTGTCGTATGCCTATAGCCAGTAGCGTAATCATGAAGTGGTTACTATATGGAAACAGATTACGAAGTTTGTGAAATACGATCATATATCACAGGAGCTAGATGAGTACCGACTGAATACATACTTGTCGCTTATGAAACGATCAGCTTCACTTTTGATAGGAATCAGTTGAACATGAGTAGCTTTAATTGTAGTATGCTGTAGCCGGTGCTGCGGTGGCCACCGTCACATTGCTTCCCTACTTTGTATCATCATAAATTTTAAGTATCTTTTTTCAAATTAGTTTATTTCTTCCTACAAATAATTTATCAATCTCGTACAATCTTTTTTTATTTATTATCATGAAAAAAAAGAAATCTTGACACTACAACAAAGCAAAAAAAGAAAGGCAAAACATTAATGAAATTCAATCGCAAGTAATGTATTATCACGTTCATTTTCACTGGTATTTCCACCGAAAACATAAAATGTAGTTTTTATTGTTGCACCAGCATGCCAACCACGTTTTCCACCAATTGATTTTGAAAATTCAAGTCGTTTTGTTTGTACATGTTCACCATTTTCTTTCGTTGGTTGAATGATAACTACGTCATCAGCAAATTCACCAGCACCAGCATGACCTAATTCCGAAGGATTTTGTTCACCACCATGTCCTATAAGTACACCATTAAGACATCCAAAAGCAAAAACACTACGTGGTGATATTTTTGCATCACTTATATATGTCCATGTTTTTGTAACTAAATCAAAACTAGCTATATCATTTAATTCTCGACCACAAAAACCACCAAATATCCAGAGTGCATTATTAAGATAGACAAGTGCACATCCACCACGTGCTACAAGCTGTTGAGCATCAGGTGAAGGTAATGGTTTCCATTGTTTATTAGACGTATCATATTGCCATAAATTATTATAACGACTATCTTCACCACAACCACCAAAAACAAATAATTGATCAGCACTACTAACCATTGAATGATAACTTCGTTTTTCTGGCCATTCTTCAATATCAGATGTTTTTTTATATTGTGTCCATTCATTAAGATCAATATCGTATGAATATAAATCATCTAAAGTATTATCTTTCATATTAACTGATGTTCGACCACCGAAAATAAATAACCTAATTGAAGTCAAAGAAAAATACAATAGATAGGGTCTAAAGAATGATAAATAATTTTTTGATGCATTAACTTAAAAACAAATCGTTTGGGCTTGTATAAAGATTATTATCTTGAATAAAAAAGTAAGAAAAATTAGAATCAATATATGAAGGGTAAACCCTTCGTCTTTCACCGTTTCTAGTTCCCGAATAGGAAAAATAATTTAAACAATATTTTTAATTCTACAATATCCAATTCTAATCAAGTCCAAATATTGAAATAGGTACATTCCTAACAAAGACATTGATTTTTAGCAAGTGTATTTTTTTCATATATAAAAAACACGTTTCATCACTATAAACGAACATTGTATTCGTATGAAAATATATATTTTTGTAATCTTGATAATTCCTTCTAGTAGTGTCACTTTCGTGATCTTTTCCTAGGTATCCGAATCACGTACCAGTCTCATATTAAAAAGATAGACAGAGACGTTCTAAACACCTGGGCACATTTATAATGCTAGAAAACATAGTTCATATAATGGTTTATTACACAATAAACGAAACGAATTAACTTTGATTTATCAGAGACAACAGTCAATAATAATGCAATTAAGACTTAGCAAAAAGGTTTCCTTCTTATAATATCCTTATATCATCTCAAAGCAGTGCATATTCTTTTCATTATGTTATCTTTCAAACCGTATGCATTTTTGACAGTCTTCTATAAAATTACTTATGTTCTACAGCAGCAGCTGCATGTGCAAGCCTGGGTGATGGTCGTTCACCTTGATTAACCGACAAACGTTTCCAGTGATTATCAGTTACACTAAATCGCCAAATATCATTATCAACTGGAACACGTGGATCATGTTCACCACCGAATAAATACAAATGATCATCAATTGCTGTTAATGTATGACTACTTCCTATTCGAATATTTTCTTTTAATTTATTTTTCTTTAAAATCAACTTACGTGCTGATGGAATATCACCATATTGATTTACCGATCGTTCGAAAACTTCCTTGATTAAAATACAAATGTATTCTATTTTTTTTTCTTTTATTTAGATAATTATAAAATTATCTACCTGTGGCATAATTAATAGAAAAAAGAAAAATCTAGAAGGAGAAAACAAAACAAGATTAGAAACAAATACTAGTTAAATGTAAATTAATCGCCGTTTCAATAGCTATTTTAAAAGCATTTGTTCTCATATGAAAATTATCTAAATATTTTGGATATAGATTTCTAATAAAAAATTCATTATGATCTTGAATTTTATTTTCTTCTTGATTATCATCATCAAGATAGAAAAAATGTTTTCTCCATTCTATTTGTACATGATGATCTGTTATTGAATATAATTCACAAGCACATGTTTTACTTATTTCATCATTCTCTAATAAATACCAAAGATGACCATGAATTCGATCAATAATATAATTATGATCATATTGAGCACGAATAATATTTCGAAATATTTTTAATAAGTAATGTATAGATAAATGATTCATTCGATTTTTTAGAAAAAAAATTTGCATACTTTCAGAACAACCACCACCATATAATACTTGTTTAGTTAAAAGAATATTTGTAAGTGTATGATGACTTGTTGTAATACATTCCTATTATAAATTCAATTCAATAAGGAATAAATAAATGAATAAATATTTATTTACTTTGAGTTCTAGAAGAGATTGTTCCGTATTTGAACAAAGTAATAATGTATGAAATGGTCGTGTTTGATTGAAAAATTGAAGAAAAATTTTATTTTCTATTTCGATTTGTTTTATTTCAGTTACTATTCCAAAATATCGTTCATCAAGTGTATTGAATATTAATGTTTCAATTGGTTGACAATCTAAATAAATGTCATGTCATAGATATAAATTATACAGTAGAACTTCTTTCATGTGATCACGAACAAGACTGGTCAAAAGTGCTCACTTTATAAAGCATGATCGTTGTTGTCAAATATTGTTTTTTTTTTTAAATATTCATAGTTAGTCCGTTCCCTTTTTCTACGAGTCCCGTGATTGCTTATCATGACGCAAAATACATAATAGCAGTTTTTTTCTCTTTCTGCACGTGAGTGATATAACATATGTTGCTCATCGGATCAGAAAAAAGTGCCTCTTACTCAGTATAACGAAAATGCTCCTTCTCAGCAAAACTTGCTGAGGCGGATGAAATTTGTCGATTCATTGGAAGAGGCTTTTTGAGAAATAATTTCTGCAGCTTATTGATTTTTTTAAAGTATTTACGTCCATAATAATATCTAAGTTCAATATAAAAAATATTTTGCTTTCGTCAGCATAGTAATGTGTCAGTGCCACGTGGAAAAAAATCCTGAGAAACACCCTATAGGAAATCACAGTCTATTCAAAAATGCGTTTCTTTATCAAAAACATATCGTGGAGTCACTTCAAAACTCTTTCGCAGCTTGCTCTACAAAAATTCTTTAGGTTCTCTATACGAAAGAAAAACTAGAACATATTCGGTGAAATCTCTTCGCCTTCACGCATTCTTCTAGAAATTCACAAATGTTATTATTACAAAACAGAGTATCTCTAATTGAAGGAAGCATACCACCAGATATACATGCCAATGTTTGTTTTATGATGTACTCATTTTGAATCTGACAGTGGATTTCTTTTTGTAAGAAGATCTGTAGATATTTTTTGGAACGACATCATAAACACTGACTATGTATACACGTAAGTTAGCTTGGAATTAATGACTATGCCAGTGGTACATTTCATTGTGAACGAATTCTATCTATACTATTCACACTTCAACATAAGCAATTAACTTGAATAAGTTTGACCAAAAAAAAGAGTAGTTTTTATTTTTTCACGATATTAGGATATCTTGACTGTCTTGTTCTAACTAGAGGAGGTTACGAAATAATAAATTGCTCTTAAACTGGAACTATATTCAATTGATAAGCCATAATAGATAGATAAACATCCTAAACTTATTTGTATAGCTGGGCTGTTATTACTCAGATATCGTCGATTTTTCTTGTAGAGCACTAGTTTTCACACGGAACTATAATTTTAAATTTCGATCTGAAAAGATACTTTATCGAGAAACTCAGAATTTTTTTCCTAGAAGCTAATCTAATCGATATCTTAATGTAGGCAAAGTTTCCAATTAAAAATTCAAAAGTATGATTTCGCTTGAAAATATTTACTTACTCATTAGACGTTATCGATTGAATGTAATTCCAGTTCGAAAGCAGTTTATCACTTGGGGACCTATCCTTATAATAACTTTCCTCTAACTTAGTCCGATCGAGCTGAAATTTTTACCACAGATATTCGGAAATATCCTACCGAGACAAAACTGACCGTTCTCGTTTTTTCGACTTTCCTATCTGAATATATATTAATAGAAGATCTGGGTTCTTCTAAGTTTACAGACTCGCCAGTATAGAGAAGTGCTCACATCAAGAAGTTTTACTGTAATATTTTCTTTCCTACTAGTTAAATAACAAAAATAAGGTGTATATTGTCGACCAAGTCGATCAATTGTATCAATTCCATATTGTTTTAATTTCATTTTAACAGATGGATGAATAACCTTTAAAAAAAATAGCAGAATTCTATAAGTTAAATTAAGAATAATATTCAAATTTATCAAACTTTTTGACAAAGAATTAATCCACCATTATGTAAACAAGTAAATTCAATAATTTGTTTTGTTATATGTTCAGCTGTATTTTGAATCCATTCAAACATTTGTTTTTCTGTTTCAACGTGATCTAAATTTTCAATTGTATAATCTCCAGCTAGTGATATAGTAAAATAAAGACATGAACGTATTTTTTTCGAACATAAAAAAGATTTTCTTGATGATATTTGATAAAGTAAACCATTGAATAAAGTTGATTCATCAATAGATAAACCTTGAATTGTTAAAATAAGTTGTTGTGTTGATGAATTAATCATTGTTATATTTTCAAGAAATGATTTAACTGATAAAAGACATAATTTTTCTCGTAATAAATCTGAATAATTATAAGCTAATGGTTTACATATAACAGCACGAACAATAGCTAATAATTGATGAATTGAATTAAATGTTATTGTTTCTTGTGGTATATTTATTTCATCAATTAAATTTAAATAATATTCAAATAATGAATTTTGTTTATGAGAATTTATTGACATATCACGAAATTGTAGTAATAAACTACAAAATATAATACTAAAATAAAGACCACCATCATGATATATAGATGTTTGTTTTTGTATAGCAGCTGACAAAAGACGTGATATAAGATGTCGACATTTTAATTGATGTTGAATACGACTACTTATTGATGTACAAATACTCATTGAATTATCAAGTGTTTGAATTAATTTTAAACGAGCATTTGATCCATAAGATGTTGAAAAAAATGATAGAAAACGAGATATAATTAAATAATCGTTATTAGTTAAAAATGATGACATTATTAATTAACAATTCATAGAAAATAGAATATATATTCAACAAATAAACAATTTTCTTCCTATCGAAAAAATATTGAACATTTGTAAACAATATTTTTAAATCTAAAACGATGAAAATCTACTCGTTAGAAAAAAAAACCATCCGAGAAATAAAACAATCATCATTTGATTTTCTTATTGTAAACATCAATTAGGAACTCACGAAAAAGTTAAAGAAATTGTATTTAAATGATGTAGCGTCTCTTGTATGTAAAAAAAAGAAATCTCCGTTGGGTCTAGTACTACTATTCTTTTAGATAAAAATCATAGACAAATTGAGCGTAAGTCGACTAGCACGAACTAGATTTCGAATCCAAAAGTTTGTTTTCTATATTCTTCAAATTCACTGCTCATGCTCTTACACATGGTAAAAATAGTGCCTCAAGTTTGTTGTCGATGAAATATGGAAAGAAAATCATCAGATGCAAAACATATAAAATTACTTCATGATGACTGTCGATCTCATACTTAGAGGTATCCTAAGGTTGGAGTTGGAAGCAATCACTCGGAAAACCAATTAGAAAACTTTCGTTAAAAGCAATCGAATTTGAAGCGATGACCCTGATCCTTCTTCCTGCTGAAAGCACTCGTGTTCATACTTATCCAGATGCTATAAGTTATCGCATGCAAGGTATAAATTTAATATTGGATCTATCGTTTTCACTAAACCTTGTATTATATATTTGACTAAACAAATGAAAACTCGTTAGTTCATCTAATTTTCAAGATAGCTAAAAATATTCCGGTAGACTTTACAAAAAAAGATTTGACAAGTTATTAGAAAGTATGGGCATTGATTACAATGGATATTGTCATCAATTTAATTTGATGATTTTAATTAATTGTAATGACATACAGCAATTTTCATATCCGTTTCATCAAACAAAATGACACTTTTTTAATGCATGAATATCAATAAACTAGTAAGTGTTCAACAATATTCAAAAATGAAAAATACCTATTCCAATAATTGAATTATGATGAGTTTTATTTAATCTTCTAAATATTATATAGTAAATCTAATATCCATAATATATGTATTTATATTATGTGAAGAGAAACAAATATTTAACAAATTTTGATTAATTATTTATTACATAAAGAAATAATAAAAAATTACAACAAAACAAAAATAAATGAGATTAATATTATTTATTTATTCAATTTGAGAGGACCTTTGCCACTTGCTTTCTTTTTTGCTTCTGTAAAATACAAAAAACAAAATAATCAGATTCAAATTTAAAAATCTTCATGTGACAAAATAAATGTTGATAGTTCTTAACATTAACCTATTGTATCAACTTGGATTATTTGTTTTTTGTCTGAAAAGTACTCTTTAAACTTATCTCAGGCATGTTTTACAGTCCTCGAAAAGATCCGATGTTCGAGTATTCAAAGATAGATTTCGACATCATTTACATGTCTATTATTAGATTAACATAACTTCTTGAGAATATGTATTTTGTGTTTTATAGTTTATTTGCTTCAATTATCACGTTATTCAAACATAAACTTTCTGTACAATATTTAAAAAAAAAATACTAAAAAATCATATTGTTCTTTGCTTCGACTCAAAACTGATTGTATACTTCATACAAAAATAAACACAAAGAATAGAGACGCATACAAATCATTTTTTGATTCTCACCATTTTCCCGACATTTATAACAGGTGTGATGCAAAACTTCATATTTGATTACAAAATCAAACATCTAGACACATTTTCGATGAAAATATTGACATACACCTTTTTCTTTTATCACAATTTAATGATTGATAGATAAGAGAATAAGTCATACTAATTTTCTCATAGAAAAATACTTCAAGATGAAAACTAACTCAATCAAAGACTCTTCCGACATTCTATCCCTTGGCAAAAATAACAACTCGAACAGTTGAAGTGTTATAAATATTGTCCTGAACAAGTATTACAATCATTTATTTATATCATCACATCTATTTACTGTTTTCGAAATATTTTTAGAAAGAAAAAAAAATAATAACATAAGCTTTTGATTGATTCTAATAATTAGATTTTCATTGAAACATTTAATTGAGATACTTCTTAAGACTCAGTCAAAACATAAATTTAATTAACAAAAAAATCTTTTTCTTATTGAACTATCTACTAATTAGTAATCTTTTACAAGTTCAGAACTTGTTTTTCTTACTGTTTAAATAATTTCTAGATGAATTCATTTTTTTTTTGACGAAATCACTGAGTTTTTCGCTGCTTTTTTTTTTTTTCTTTCTCAAAAATATTCAGAAAATAGACAACAATTTTATCTATGAGTCATTAACTTGTGATAAAAAAAAGTGTAATGTCAATATTTTGATCGAAAATGAATCTAGATGCATGATTTTGTTATCAAATGTAAAATTTTTCATCAAACCAGTTATAAATATAGAGAAAGTGGCGAAGGTCTAAAAATGATTTTTGTGCATCTATTTTGTTTTTTTTTTTGTAATGGAATGTAGCATCAATTCTAAGCGCTATACATTATATTTTGTCCAAAAATCGATGTATTAAAATAGTGTTACATCTATTTTTACTTACCATCAAGTTTTTTTTGTTCTTCACGTTGTTTTTCCTTAAATGTTTTTTCATCATCATCTAATTCTTTTGTATCTTTTTTTGGATTTTTTCTATGAAAACAAACAAAATTTATTTGTTTGTTTGTTTTTTATTAATTATATATGAAAAACTTACAATGGTTTTAATTTACCACCTTGACGTCCGGACATTTTTTGTTTTTTCTACTATATTAATTTCAATATCTAAATAATCATAGAATGATTCATATCTTTTCTCTCTCTCAACAAATCAATCAATCTATTGGTGATTGTTGAATCTTATTTCATTATAAAAAAAAAAACAAAATTTGAATTTATTTAGTTTCTTTTTTGGTTATTATTATTTTACTCATTATATTTTATTTATTTTTCTTTTAACACGACATCTTCTCATTAATATTATTATACTATTGCTTTTACCAATCGACTATTTTTGTCGATCTCAAACGTTACCATAGACGCCAATAGAAAGCTCGAATAAGAGAATAAGAAAAGACAAACATATGTATTTGTGTACATATAGTATTTTAACATCATAAGTGTATGAGCAACTCTCAAAAAAAGAAAAATCTATTTTTTTCTTTTGACAGCGGTGAGAATTAATAAAAAAAAAAACCAAAGAATTGACTTTATGTCGAAGCAATGTTGACATTACATTTGAGCACTATTTAATAATGACAATATGACATTATCATCTAGTGTTATTTTTTGTTCGTATAACATACATATAAGGCTATTTTAAACTGAGAAACTAATGTATTTTTAGTATACGACAACACATAGCTGCACATTCTTTCCGTTGTTTTCAAGAAAATCTTATTTACAAAGTTTTTGTGTATAGATAATAGTTGAAATATCGATTTAAGATAAATTCTTTGTGATACAGACACTATGTTTGTTTTTTTTACTACGTTTCGCTATAGTTTAAAAAAGAAAAAAGTTTTTAAAATTCGATTATTTATCAATTTTAGATAAATAAATATGTCAAGTGATGGTGAACTTAATGTTGATAGTCTTATAGCACGTTTACTTGAAGGTAAATTGATTAAAGAAAAAAAAAAAAAGAACAATATAAATTTAATTTCATAATAATTTTTATAGTACGTGGATGTCGTCCAGGAAAAATTGTTCAAATGACTGAAGGTGAAGTACGTGGTTTATGTTTAAAATCACGTGAAATATTTTTAAGTCAACCAATTTTACTTGAACTTGAAGCACCACTTAAAATTTGTGGTATAGTAAAAGAATAAATGTTGAAACTATATTTATTTTTTCTATATATATATTTATTAGGTGATATTCATGGTCAATATACTGATTTATTACGTTTATTTGAATATGGTGGATTTCCACCGGAATCAAATTATTTATTTCTTGGTGATTATGTTGATCGTGGAAAACAATCACTTGAAACAATTTGTTTATTACTTGCTTATAAGGTTTTGATATTTAAAAAAAAACTAAAGATTCTATAGGAAAAATTATATATATATATATATATATTTAGATAAAATATCCTGAAAATTTTTTTCTTCTTCGTGGAAATCATGAATGTGCTTCAATTAATCGAATTTATGGATTTTATGATGAATGTAAGAAAATTTTTTAAAAAAAAAATACATTTGATATTGAATAAAAAAGAAACATATTTTTATTAGGTAAACGTCGATTTAATATTAAATTATGGAAAACATTTACAGATTGTTTTAATTGTTTACCAATAGCTGCTATTATTGATGAAAAAATCTTTTGTTGTCATGGAGGTAACTTCTTTTGATAGTTTCATATATTCAAAACTCATTTGATCATTAAAAATGAATATATTTTATAAACTTGTACTTAAAATAGATAATTTAATGATCAAAATTTTCTATAATTATAATTAAACGTTTTATGATATTCAATTAAATAACGGAACAAAAATAAGATGAATTATTTTTTTAATGATTTCAGGTTTATCTCCGGATCTTCAAACAATGGAACAAATTCGACGTATAATGCGTCCAACAGATGTACCTGATACTGGTATGAAGAAGACAAAAAAAAAAATCTTTGTTTTTATAAACTATTAATTTCTTGTTTTTTGTTTTTCGTTATAACAGGATTATTATGCGATCTATTATGGTATGTTATTTTGTAATATTCTTTTTAATTATAGTTGAATAATTGTATTCTAGGTCTGATCCAGATAAAGATACACAAGGTTGGGGTGAAAGTGATCGTGGTGTTTCATTTACATTTGGTGCTGATGTTGTAGCTAAAGTAAAATAATAACAAAAACATTTTTTTGTTTTTTCGAAAATGAAATTTTATTTATTATAGTTTTTAAATCGACATGATATGGATTTAATATGTCGAGCACATCAAGTAAATTTTTGTTTTTTTTTAAATAGAAATCTCATTCTTTAATATGTATTTTAGGTTGTTGAAGATGGTTATGAATTTTTTGCTAAACGTCAATTAGTAACATTATTTTCTGCACCAAATTATTGTGGTGAATTTGATAATGCTGGTGGAATGATGTCTGTTGATGAAACATTAATGTGTTCATTTCAAGTTAGTTAAATTTCTTTTATTTAACAAAAAATTTATTTTTTGTTTTTTTTTAGATTTTAAAACCAAGTGAAAAGAAACCAAAATATCAATATGGTGCTCTTAATACTGGTCGACCATTGACACCACCACGAGCAGCAAATCTTCCACCACAAACTCAATCGAAAGCTGGCAAAAAATAATTCAAAATGTCAGTTTAAATAATTGTGTGTATATAAAACAAAAACAAGTCTTTTTTTTTGTTTGGCTTCTAAGTTTGTTGGCTCAAATCTTTTTCATTTTGATCATATAATGATGTTTTGATTTTTCTTTTGTTTTTTACATCATACTGTAGTTGAATATCAAAGATAAAGTAAAGACTTGTTTTTAAAAAAAAAAAAATCACATTGTTATATTAAATTATCATCTAATTGTTTCCACTCAGTGTTTTCATTTCATGGTTCTTGTTTTTTAACGAACATAATTCATAAAAAAAAAAAAAACGTTTGGTTTTTTGTTTTTTGTATAATGCATGTTTTGTTATCATTCGTGCTGTTTTCTTTTTTTTTGCTTCTTGATTCAGGAAGTCATTTCAATAAAATGTAAGACAAGGAAAGAATTTTCAATTATTTGTTTTTTGTAGAAAACCCATTGAACTCGGAAAAAAAAAACTTGTTATTTATTTAATCAAGAAAATTAGTTTTTTTTTTTCGTTTGTTTGATCGTTATAAAAATTTAATAAAAAAGCTATTAGTATAACTCCTATGGGATTAAAATGTGTGAAAAACAATATAATTGTTGTTGTTGATCAGAAAATAAATTGTTTTATTGTATATAGTATGGGAGACATTTCTCCACAATAAAGAAATAGTTTACTATTATGATCTATGAGCAAAGAAAAAGACAAATGTCTATCTCGTATATTTCAATATATTTTTCTTTTGTGTCATTTACTTCTGACATTATGTTAATCGAATAAAAACCGTTAGTAGATCATTTGGTATAATGTACGCTATAACATCCTTTTACTACTTGTTAACCTCCATTCTATTGCGGTATACTGATGGTCATGCATTGATGGTTTCTATAAGTGTCGTAGTATATTGACGAAAGTACGAATAAATATATGACATAGATTAATAAATGATTAACACATAACTAATGTAGATTTAATGAGACAGGTAATTATTATGTATATATTAAATGTATTTTGTTATGAGAATTTAGTTGATGTAAATAATTTAGTACTATTTTATATTTAATGATCGTTATAAGATATCATAGAGATTAGTTGATTCGTATTAAAAATCAAGAAAATGAATTTTGTCTACATACAATAAATCATAATTTTTCATAAAAAGAAATTTTTTTTTATTCAATTTTATTTTGATTTGATCTAAGATCAATTAATGACTGTCATTCGTTAATTCAACAAAATTTTTCAAACGTAAAAATTCCGAGTGATTCAAAAGTTATATCAACGATGAAAAAATTGAATATTCTTCTCAAAAGTATGATCGTTGAGAATTCTGAAAAAAAAACTATTTATTTGTATAATTAAAAACTAAACGCCATATCTACTGTTTTGTTTCGATTGTTTTCTCATATTTTGCGCATATGGTCCCCATACCATAGGTTTAAGTATTTTTATTATATATGTATACAAAAAAGTATCAGCCGTAAACGATTAGAAGCTATTCGATAACTTTGATATTTTGTCTTCTATTGCTAGTTGATGACTTTGTTAAGGTCGATGATAATACATGAGAAAACTAACTATTTATTTGCTTTTTTGACATTTTTCTTATGAATATGGTCTATGATTATTGCTTGATCAGATGGTACAAAACATACACTCTTTAACTCCAGATATAACCGAGATTTCTAAACTTTGGTTGTTCTTAGTAAAGCGATTTTTGTATAATGTGATATGTATAGATTGTTTATGGTTTACACTCAATATTTTTGTCTTGTAATTCGTTCTAATATGTATGAACATATTATTTCATTTTCTTCTTAAATTAGTAAAATTTAGAATATTAATAAAATATGAATCTAATACGAAAATAAATATTTCAAAGCTTCAGTTGGAATTGAAAAGAATACTATAGTTGACAATCGATGAGAATTTTCCATAAAATCAATGTATTCTCAAACATTGTTATATATTCAATAAACAGATGTATTATTTTTAATTTACATAATTGCAATAAAACAGAAAAGGAAGAAAGAAATTTAAAAAAAAAAACAGTATTTATATACATGAAAGAGAACAACAAGATAGCAAAACTATGTTTTTTTTTTTTCTTCTAAAACCGATTCAAAAAAGGAAAGTAAAATTTATAATGGAAACTAAATGAAAAAAAAAAAGACTGTTCACAAAAAGGAATGTTGAAAGTATTAAGTAATAGGAAGTAATAAGTACAAAGAATTTCATTAAGAAAATGAAAACAATATTAATTGAAATATCAATTAAGACGTGATGATTTTTGAACAAGTTTTTGTAAACGTTCAATTTCAATTTGTAATGTAGCACGAGCTTTTTTTTCTTCATCTAATTCATGAATAAGATCTTGTATTTGATCAGTAAATTTTAATTTCATTTCATTCATTGTTAATTTTATTTGCATTAAATCTTTTTTTAATTGTTCAAGTGTTATTGTTGTTGTTGTTGTACTACCAGAAAGAGAATCTCTTGATTCATTAGTATTAATTAGTGTAGAATTATTTGTACTGGTTATTGAATATGAACGATTAGCATAACGAGGTGATTCTACTTGACCTGGTTCTTAAGAACAAAAAAAATGTTTGTTTTTTTTTTTTTTTTGAAATTCTTTTGTAGAATTATTTATTTTACCTCGTTGATATGATGGAGGCGTTGGAGTATGCATTTTATTTTCACTCTAAAGCATATTAGAAAACTGCTGTTTCTTTCATAATACAATACATTTCATTGATTTTTGAATAATTTTTGATAGGAACATCATAGAGCTCTGTAGTTTTTAACTTTGAAGAGAGAAGATTCAGGACGATTGAAGTAAGCGGAAATTGGATTGGTCAATGATTGACCAATCAGGTGAGTTGTAGATGAAGATTTTCGAAAACGATATTCTGAAGCTAGTTTCTTTTCGATCTACGCAAGACCGAAACAAAAACTCATACAGAGATCTACGATTTCAATTGTTGAAAACTGCAGGTTACTGAACTTTACATCATCCTTCTGGCATGGACATCAGTTCTTTTTAAATGGTTTTCAATCGCCAAAGAAACGATCTGTCTTATTTGTTTATGTATTTTCAACAGAAACATTCTCTTTTTTTTGCGTTGTAACTGGCGAATTGATCTGTTGCATATATCTATGAAATCTAGAGCAGGACTTACCAGACTATTTTACATATCGATAAACTTACAAACACTGATATTTACAACTTTCTCACGTGATCAGTTCACATTTTTTATGTTGATCATATGACGTCTATGACAAATCAATTTATAACTAATTACCCATCATTGTTGTCGTCTTGACTATATATTTTTATGCATACAAAAACTAGAAGCTGCATTATTTTGAACATTTACAAATATGTTCTAACCATGCAAATTGCGAGCAAGACTTTGGCATAATCTTGAATAGCTCAAGTCTTGTGGTTAATACTATTTAGCACCTATTTTAATCGCTATGAAAAATATACGGAATGGTCTCTGACCTCGGTTTCACAAAATCATTTATAAAAATGTATAGTAACTCTATCTTATTTAGTTATGTATTGAATATCATATGTATAATTAAGTCAATACTCATTGTCATTATAAATCATAAACGAACTAACTTTTAAATCAACTGATTGCGAACGAATTGTTTCATCAAGTGAACCAGTTGTTCTAATTAATCCATTTTCCTACATAAACAAAAATTGTTATTCAATCAAATACAAAATTTTGAAAAGTATAATGAACATTTTTTCTTCCTATTGCTGATAATTGCCGATTACGTAAAATTGATGTTTGTTTATCAATGTCACTTAATTTTTCTTCAGAATCAAGATTTTTCACTTCTCTATAATGATCTTGCTTTGAATCATCTAAGTAAAATAATATTCTTTTATAAACATTTATCATTTTCTTTTTTTTTATTAAAATACCATCTTTGAAACTAACTGATCGTGACTTCGTAGTATGTTGAGGTTCATTAGAAAGATTATGAGATGAATCTATCGAAAATACAACATAGTTATGAAAAACTAGTCTTATTTAGTTTTAATCTATAAATAAACTAACCATCATTGTTGGATTTTCTTTTTGATAATGCTTGAGAAGGATGTCTAGCTCCAATTTCAGGTGTTTTTGGTCGATGTTTTGAATTCTGTTAAAAAAGAATTTTTTTTTTAATCTTTTTCTTTGTAAATATCAAAGTAACAAACCGTTAATTCAGAAATTTCTTCAACACAATTATCTATTATAAATAAATATAGTAATTAATAACAAGAGAAAATTGAAATCTAACCAGGAAAGATTCCGATTCGTCCGTTCAATTCACCCTTAAGAAAAAAAAAAGAAGAAGTTAAAACAGTAATGGATCTGTGATTTTGAAAGGAATTGATCATCAACAAAAGAAATCACTTTTATAAGTTTATTCAAGATCATTTAAACTTAGTTTTTATTTAGTATACTGCATTATGATTCATTATTTCGAACTTCTAAATATATCCAATAAGTTTATGGCTTTTCTGAATCATATGGATTTCGTTCAGTTTTTCTACTGATACAAAGTGATTTTTCAATAGCAAGATTATTATTTAGCACTGTAGTGAAGTACGACTACTTCAAGTTTGACAACTCGTTTTATATCAGCAAGAAAACAGAACTAAACCTATATAGTTTGAAAAAAAAACTGCGAACTTATCCTACATATTTAGAACTCTAAAATAGTTGATCATGATGCATTAAACTATTTTCGTTTCGTTTTTTTTTGCTAGAAAAAAAAAATGTTTGAAGAGAAAGATGACCAATCCTTTGCTTGCCCTTCTTCAATTTAACACCGAAAAGCGAAGTCTTGCAATTCATGAATCGCTTTTAAGTTGAGAATGTGTGCTTTAGGTAGATCCTGATGAACTATGAGTACTCTAAAAAATGTTCAAGTCCTTAGCTTCTTGTGAGTGAGATATTGCATTTTTACGACATCTTTTAAGTCAATACTTTGGTCCACCTTAGAAATATCAGGAAAACTTCTTTTTATTTGAGTTTTGATTTCAAATTTTACATAGGAACAAGTCTTAATGAGAATAGTTTATCGTGAAAGTTTCAGTTCTGTTCATTTGCATCTCGCAATCAGAATATCTAATCTGTCAATATATATGAACAATCAAAACAATAAAGTTTTATCATTGCAGTATCTTACGATAAGAATATTGAAAGGATATAAAACTTACATTATAAACTGTTTTCATTATTGGAGCGCTTCCTCCTGTTCAAAAGCTAAATCACTTTTTTTTCAACGGACCTAGCGACAAATTCTTACTGAAAAACTCAGCAAAAATTTCACTATCTCAAACATGAAGATCCGAAAAAATAAACTGTTTTAGACGTTTCTATTACTGATAAGTTCTACATCATCTTGTTCAAAATGTGATTTGACACTTGAAAAGAATTCTCTGTAAGAAAGTGAAACCAATAGTACACGAAGTTTTTAATCATTACGTGCAGATATTTTCGAGAAGCAAGCGTTTTGAAGATTTGGAGTGTATTATAACTATTGTTCTATTGATTGAAATCTATCTATTCTGAAAGATTCAAATATTTCTAATGAGCAATTCTTCAGAAATCCTGGAAAGTAGGAACCTCTTAAGACCTATCTCTATGCAAATTTTCTAGTGTTCCCGAACGAGACCAAAATATTAACTTAAACGCTATCATTAACCTGTAATATCTCCATACTTTTCAGCTAAGTGTTCGAACTATTTTTCAGGATATTGATAGCAAAAAAAAAAAAATTCTTCTCTCGTATTCAAATCTACCTTCCACCATCCTTCATCATCAAGATTTTTATCAAGTATAGTAACAATATCATTAGTCTTTAATGTTAATTCATCTTTAGCTTCTGCTTCATAATCATGCAAAACACGAGCTTTTATTAAAGATGTTTTCTTTGATATTTCATGTTGAACAGGTGTATGATGACCATTAATAGATTTCTGTTTAATTACTTGATTTGTCTTACTGTTATCTTCATTGATACGTATAACATAATTCGATGGAAAGAAACCAATTTTACCATTAAGTATACCTTCATACCAACCTTTTTCAATCTAAAAATATAATTATTAATTAATCATATAATAAATAAGAAATTAAACAAACCAATTGAGTAACATTAATAATATCATTTGGTTTAATAGATAATTCATCATCCTGCATTGATTGATATGTATAAAGAGCTTTCACTTGAAATAATGTACTATTTTGAGAAGCTAGAATATAAATCATACTAAATAAATAATATAATAGAAAAATACAACTGACAAGTATTATTATGTATAAGTGAACGTTTTTGTGTAATTTCATTTTTTTTTCCAGTATTTATTGTTATAAATGTTCGTTTATTTGCCTTTTCTTTGTCTACTAACTTTTTTTTTAACAAAAAAAAATCATTTTAATATGAAAAATAGATTCGAAAATTCTTCTTACTGTAACATTAGTATCTGGAAAATAACTAAAGAACAAAATTTAATATAAAAGAAAATTTTCAATTTAAAAACTTAAACTTACCCAATCTTTCCTTGACATTTTCCTTTTAACCATCCATCATCGGATTGTACAACATCAGTTATAATATCTCCTTTTCGTATTGTTAATTCATCCGATGTTTTTGCTATATAATCATAATTAACAATATAAGTTCCCACTAACAAAAAACAAGAAAATCTTCAATATTTTAATTTGTTTAACTATTATATAAACTCTCACTGTTCTTTTAATGCATTTAAAATGAAATCTAAAACATAAAAAACATAGCAATCAACAGTATCATATATCACATTTTCTATGTACATATACTTCATGCAACAGAAGATGTCAAATATCACGCAAACAAACGAATACATACTATTCTGTTACTAGAGCGAAGAACAGAAAGTGATAAGAGACATAAGAGAATGGAAGAAAAAAAAGGTCATCAGAAAAGCAAAGAATTTATTCTCTGTTTTGTTTCTTAAATGAAAGAGTTTTAAACTCCTATACAAAACTTGATAGAATGGTCGGAGACTAGAACAATTCATATTTAATCCTTCATAGAGATCGCTAGATGTCGATGATTGAACAATCTAGCTAATTTTTCCGAGAAACATTCAATTGCTTATGATAATTAGCAGTATCCTTACCGTTACTAATGGAATTACGCACATATAAAAGTAAAATATTCATCTTTATGAAAAAAATTTTCATTCAGAATGAGTATTTTTTTTTTGTCAGTTTTAGTAAGACTTTTATCTTATGATTTTTCATATTTACCTTCGATAAGCGATGTATGAATGTATTTACTGCGGAGGAAAGTAAAAAAAAAATGGGCGCATATCTTTATTATATACTTAGAAAGTACGTTAATCACATAGGTAAAGTATAATATATAATTGAGCACAACTAATGTCCATTTCAGAGTTACGTGGCCGTGGACATCTTTTGAATAACTTTTGATAGAAACGATATAGAGATCTCCGGTTTTCACCGTTGGAAAGAGCAGATGAAGACGCATCGAATTATATATAGAAAGATTTTTCTAACTACTTTCCTATAGGTTTTACATAAAACTGCAAGAAAAACAGCATGCTTCTCATGGTCACGATATTAATTCATTGATTTTCAGGAGTGCTCTAGAATCGCTAAGGGAAGGGCTACAAAACTATATCAAGACGCTGTTCATAACTACTATCAGTATGATATCCAAACCATCAGAACACAATTTACCACCTCATTTTTTTCAACAAAATAACCGAAAAATATAAATTTTTGTCGTATTTTGATAGAAAAGCCACTTTGTTAACGTAGGAGAAAAAAGCAATTCTTTGAAAACTTTTGACTAAATCTATAGGAAAATAGTTAGAAAAATCTTTCTATATATAGTTCGATGCGTCTTCATCTGCTCTTTCCAACGGTGAAAACCGGAGATTTCTATCTCGCTTCTGTCAAAAGTTATTCAAAAAATGCTCACGATCATTTAACTCTGAAATGGACATTAAGTAAGCTATTCTTTCAAATTCTCATTCTAAATAGAGAAGATTTGATGATATTCAAGTGTCCTTAGGCTGTATTTAATAAATGGCCAGAAATTTTCGAGACAAAACGCTCCTTAATTTTTCGACTGACAAAAGTCGCTAGCAAAAATATAAAACTTTGAATTAGAATTAGAAATAAGTGCTCTTTTTAAATCAAAGTTGGTAATGTTTGTATGATTCATAGCTTAGAATTTATAAACGAGTTTTAATGCGCGAAAAAACTATCTAGGTTAGAAGTAATCAAAAAATCAAAACATGTGATACCGGAGTGCAATTAAGAGAAATGAACGTCTTTACTACAAAGATACGAAGATGTCGACAAAGAAAAAAAAAATCACCCACACCCACCTTTCATACAATAACCATTGCATGTCTTTTATATCTACGGCATAGGAATAATTTCTAAAGTTCATCATAAATACTTTCAATCATAATTTACACTAAAACTTTAATAAAATAATCTAAATCGACTTTAACTTGTTTTCTAAATTCGAAGAATTCAATTGAGAAATTCTCATCTACTCTCTTGTTATATTTTGATTATTTAACTATTATTGGCTACATATAAGTCAATATTTCGAATAACAGGCATATCAAATGAAAGTGAAATGTATGCAACACTTGATACACAGAAGGAAGTTGTTAAGCTACACTTTGATAGTAATAATAGAGTATTACGAATATTTTAGTTGTTTAAACTGTAATATATTGTTCCATGACATGGTTTCGATGGCATGTCATGTTGTGGGATCCGGACAGTTGCTCGACGGACGGTTGCTTGCTAGGACAGTTGCTCGATAGGACACTTGCTCACGAATGACATGATCGCTTAATTTTCAGTATAATAATTCAAGACAAAATTGACTGAACTGATTAGTCTATATGTGGAGCACACTGACGGTCATTATCTCTGTAATGTTTAGTCGTATTCAAACATCATACTTATATAAAAGCGATCGAGCAAGTGTCCTATCGAGCAACTGTCCGGCGAGCAACTGTCCTAAACCCCATGTTGTATAATTCTTCTGAGTTTATTTCAAACTTTCCTCCTTGTTATAGCTTTTTGTATACAGGAATACTACCGTGAAAATACAAACAATATTTCGGTTATTATATTTATCATTTCTTACTTTTTATTTTTGCATATCAGATTAACTGAACATTGTTAGTATTTAATAAAATTGTGAACGAAATCCCACAATTTTGAAAATTTACTTAATTTCAGATAAGATATTATCAAATTTTTCTTTTATGCAATTAATAATTATTGAATTTTTCTTTCTTGCATATTAATTTTCATTTTGCTAGCATTAAAGCTCATCCAGTTGGTTCCAGATCCAGATTTGAAACCGAACCAACAGATTATACCCTATAAAACAACGTGCCAATTTTCTATCAGTCATTATTTATTATTAATTGATAATTAATAAACTGTTCAAGAGATCGAAAACAATTCCCGTGCAGAATGTTATAAAAGAGCGTTTAAAATCAAGGGAAAAAATGGTTACTCAAAAATCATCCTATACGTTTGTTTCTTACCATATTGCCTGTAGGATATATAATAGTACAAACCAATACTATAAAGTACTTTTATCTCATAAAAGAAGCACGCGAAAACATTGATTCATTGTTTTGAGAATATGAACAAGTATTCGAAATCATTTTCGTTTTATGAACGCATTGTGAACATCGTAAAACATCGATTATGGTCAAATCATTTTAGACTTATCATTTTCCAATACAACAATCAATACATGTTGATGTGACATGAATTTCATAAAAGACCTTTATAGTTTTTGCCATTTCTAATCAACACATATCCCCAAGAAAACTAAACGGTAGAAAATCAATTAAATTTTCCTTTTTAAGAACTAAACTATTCTTTCTGTTCTAATATTAAAATAGTTCATTGTATTGATACATAAACAAGAATACTAAGAAGATCTTATCAATAAAATAAATGCTTTTTATACATGTTGAATTCTAGGAAAGAAATATAGTTAAATAAAATGAAAAAATAAAATAATTCATTGTATCATAATCAATTACGAATTTCAAAGCTAAATCAATAGAATGTTTATACCAGTCGACTTTGACATCAATATTATAGATAATAAGACCAAAAATAGTGACATGAAATTTGCATTATCCGTGTATTTCGTTTTGAATATGGAAAATATTTACATACATATACAATGATTCAACTCCAGTAAAACTCGTTTCGTAAGACCAACACCTGGTTCAATATGGAATGTGTTCACTGTGATGAATTTTAATAAAGTAATATTATTCAAATTATTTGTATTTAATTGATGAGAAAAAATATCACTATAAAAAAATATGATTTATATAAATTATTCTTATTGGAAAAATTATTAAATGAAACCTTGATATGCAATAAAATATAATAGTAAGTTTGTCCTTAAAAGATTTACGTTCAATTCTTCCAAAGAAAGATCTATAACTGTTCTGTGATGTATGCTGATATTGAACGCCCTCTTTTTATTGTAGAGGGTAAATGTAATTTAAAAAGAAATGGTGAACTTGTTCTAAGTAGTAGTTTATTTCAACCCTAAACAATTTATTTAAATCATTATTTTGAGTTTCATTGATTAATATGAACATTCCATCATATTCATCATTAGAAAATGTTCATTCAGCTGCTTGTTCTACATCAATAACACCACCAATGACAATGTTAACTATAAATGATTATCTTGATGGTTTACATTGTCTACATGAAGCACAAAAAGTTCATGCAACAACAGAAGAAATTATATTTAAATTACGTCTTTATCTAGAAGATAAAGTTGGTGGTCAACATATTTTAAATACAATTTTAACACTTATAAGAACAGAAAAAATTATTGATTTTTCTAATTATAAAGAATTTGAATATTGTACTAGTTTATTACCACTTTTTATGGTATTTATTTGTTTGGAAAATTCATTTATTGAACAAAAATAATTTTATTTATTTCATACCGTGATTCATATTTATATATATATAGATGTATATTTATTATATTGTGTTTGTAAAAAATTGTATTTTAAATTTGATCGATTATACCGATGGAATTATTTTTCTTTTTATTAGAAAAAATAATTAAAGTGAATTTTCAATTCATTGTCTTTCTTTCTTAACTAAAAGAAACTACTTATTTAGATCATGACTACTTCATCGACTTCCATTCCGATTATTATTAAGTATGGTAATACAATTTATCATATGAATCTTGATAATCAATCAAATCTTTCGAAATTAGAACAATTTAATATGATTGCTAATCATATTCATATATCATCGGATCGTTTAAAACTTATTTATAAAGGCAAACGATATACAAAAGATAATTGGCAAGATTTATCTCTTATATCAAATATGACTTTTTTAAGTATTGGAGAACAGAATGAAGATGAAACAGATATAAATACAAAAGATATTGAATGTCTTATGCAACAAATGAAAATTGATCGAAATACAGCTATTAAAGCTTTAAAACTTTATCCGAATGTTATTGATGCGATTTTATATTTAGGAAATAAATAAAATAATTTTTTTTAAAAAGTTTTAGATGACTTTAGTTGATATCAGAGAAAATTTATCTTTGTTTGATGATGCATTTTCTATTCATCAACAAATACCTGAATTTCAAATTGATTCAACAACATATAATCAATTAATTGAGAGAATTCATAATGTAAAACATCCATTGATACTTGTTGCATATATTGATAATCAACCAGTTGGTTATTTAATGGGTTATGAACGTTATTCATCATTTTATATATGGATTGTTGGTGTTCTTCCTAATCATCGTCGACAAGGAATACTTGTTCAACTAATGAATCGAACTGAACAATGGGCTATGAAAGAAAAATATAATTCGTTGACGATTAAAACACGTAATTCTTTCAAATCAATGCTTCTCTTTCTCATTTCACATGATTTTAAATTAATTGATATCGATAAACGACAATCGGTTGACACTCATCGTCTTATTTTAGAAAAACAGTTAATCATTTCACCGAATTCATCTTCTAAATATGAATAATAAAAGCTAATCAACACAGCCTCTTTAGGGCTGAAATGTGAAACTTACATGCATTCTTTAGTCTTATTAAACTAATGAATTGGACTGGACCGAAGAAAGTCGGTCCAAACTTTTGAGAAATCTAATACAAAATACGTAAAATGAAGAATCTTTAGAAGATTATTGTTGTTTTCCAAAGATAATCGATTGTCAGCGAAACGATCTACTTTACTTCTGTTTTTCAAACAGAAGTTTTTCTTTGTCTGATTGCTAACGGCTCATTTTTTTTCATTTTCGTATTTCTTAATGTAACATAATTGTTATTATAACCATGGATTTAACTAGTAAATAAGCCTGCTGCAGATATCCATTATATCTACTACAGGTCTCAATCCATTATTATATATTTTGATAAGCTCAGTAGCATTGATATTGTTTATTTCCAAAAGTTCTAAATTGGTCAGTTCACGCTTTTTATGTTGATCATATGATGACTGTCACAAATCAATAATATTTTTGACACCTTGAGTATAAATTTCATGTGAGTAAAGGTTAAAACTGCATTATTTAATACATTTACAAACATATTCCAGTCATTCAGATTTCGAGTTATTTAGGAAGTCTGAAAAAGAATTCAGATGGCCGTTGGCCTTTCTTGCACATTGCTACGAATGCAAAGAGAGCTACAAAATCTCAACTTGCAACCAACGTTCACTATATTTTCCTTTGAAAAACATAATTGTGAGTTCCACACAAAAAGTATTATTCGAGTTAGGTGAGTTTGCTTGTTTTGAGAAGCCTATGTAATTACTCATTTTATCAGAGTAACAGATTTCGAGAGACCCTGCTGGGATGAAGGTTAATATATATTTTGTGACCATGATTGTTTGCCTTTTCATTAAGCACTTCCTCTTACCTAAAACTCAGATTCACTGCTATGTTATCATTTGAAATTTTATAATCTAAGTCAGACGGTTTTTTCTTGTACCAACCTCAAGATGTATCTATGAACAAGTACTTAAAAGTTCTTGCATGAGTTATGTGCACAATTTAAGTAATTCATGTACTGAATTTATGAACATAATATAAATGAGAATACTTGGAATAATCGACTAGAACAAAATAATAAGTGCTTTTCTGCTTATGATGAAGAAATGCTTCTTGCGCCATGGAGAATAACTGAATCTAATGACTCTCGTAGATTCCCATTTGGCCTGTCTGTTACATGCTTTATTGTTTAAACCTGTGAATTTTGATGAAGCGTCAAATCAGTTTCAATATAAAATTGAAAAGCATTGCTAATCTTTAATTAAAAGTGATTTCACGTATTACAGATATTTCTTCAATCGTTGTGACAGATGACAAGACTTATGCTAATAATCAATACAATTCGTACTATTTTTTATGTAGTATTTCATTCATAATCACTCTAAGACGCGTTTGAACTTGTCAAAAGATCTAAATATAGGTCCATAGCACATGGCTTTCTTTGCTCAAGATGCTTAAGTAGTTCATGTACATGAAAAACAAAAGTTGAAACAAGGATGATAGGATAAAATCCGTATAATTTATTTCGAAATGTTATTCAATTGTACAATAACTCAAAAAAAAAACAATGATTACAGAAAAACTTTAGTTTTGTAATGTCATATCCTTTGTATTATTTTAATAATGACCTGAACCACCAACACGACCATCACCGTTTAAATCCATATGAGTAGCTTTTTCCAATTGATTCATTAAGCCACCACTACCACCGGAATTAGGATTATGTCCATATCCACCAGATTGTTGACCATGACCCATACCACCACCAACACGACCATCCCCGTTGAGATCCATATTAGTAGCTTTTTCTACTTGATTCATTACACCTCCACCGGCACCTCCATAACCTTGTGACTGTCCACGACCTTTTTTTAAAACAAAAAATGAAATAAAATTTATTTATTTTTCAGAAAATTCATACCTGAACCGACCATGCCGTCACCATTTAAATCAACACCTAATTTATTTTCAACTTGTTTGGTTATAAAATCTATACAAGAAATTTCGATATGAATTATTTGAAATTTTGATTCGAATATAAAAAATTTCTTTACTTTACAAATATAACGCCTGGGATAAATTTTGTCATCATATCTCAATGTGTTGTTATTTTTAGTTTTAGACAGAGTTTATTCCTTTTTTAATCGAACCTCAATTGTTTTCCTGGGCAGAGGAGGGAAGTGTGCTTGCCTCTCTAGTTCTCGTTTGACTTTTTTTTAATAAGCTTATATGAATTATAAGATGAAAATGTATTCAATAGAACAAAATACAAACTTACTCATGTTCTTGTAATTTTGAGAATAATATAAAAGACGTTTGTTGCACGTCGTATTTATATGCTTCTCGTTTCAAGCTACGTCAAACGTAGACGCTTTCTCTCGAATCCGATAGGTATTCTTTTTTTTTATTTTTTCTTCCTTCTCTTCTACTTTGTTTTTTTTTTAAAATCAGCATCGTTTCGTATGACAAAATACGATGTTGAGATTGCCATTGGCTTTTTGAAAAAAAAAATTCTACTCTTTCTCTACGACAACACTTGATAATATTGCTTTGTTGTCGTCATTTCTCTGACGCATTGCCTGGTATATTTAATACTAAATAGAATTCTCAAAAAAAACAAATCGCATTTATAGAAGAATATGAATGAAAGTATTCTCTTGAATGTTCGAAAAATTTTTTTTTTTACGATTATTATCCGCAATAACAAGATGATGTATAATATGTACTTTACTTGATCAACAAATATGAAAATATGTTTTAAACTGAAAAAAAGAACACTTTTTCAGTATTTTAAATTTGTTTCTTTCAACAACATTAATGGAAAAAAACAGTTATTGACTTGAATTTTCGATAGTTTCTAATAAAACACTAGAAACAATTTATTCGTTGAACTACAGAAAAAAAAACTCCCGCTATGACGATATTATTTTATAATAAGCAAATGAAGAGATTGGTTATTGCCATAGTGACTATTTTTTTGAGTTCTGTAAGGTCTCAATTTTATGTGTTTATTGATAAAGTATCCGTCTCCTTAACATGAATCATAAAAAATCGTAATGTTGTTTTCCTTTAGTTGACATAAGCTAAGTTTTTATCTTAATATGATATTACTTTTTGTGTGAAATACGACCTTAAATAATTTGAAAAGATATTTACATATGAAATAGATCATTAATATTTACGATCGAATATTCGTAGATGTGCTGCTCTAATTTCAACGATTTTTCGCCCATAGATACTACATAGTGCACTAATATTGTACAGAGTATCCATGAAAAAGTGTGTACATCTTGAAAATGCTCATATCTTGAAGAGACTTTGTTCAACAGTTCTGAATTTTTTTTTTATAGAAACTAGTCTAGTCCAGTTTTCTATTTGTAAAATATGTTCAGAGCAAATTCGACTTTTTCAAATATTTATGGTTCTCTAGAAAATACATATCAGAATGGTACATCTGAAAAGGTTTCTTCACAAATACATCTTGTAAACCTTAGTGAATTTTCGTTATAGGACTTCACATTTGCAGGAAGAGCATGTTTTCAAATGTCGACCTGAAATTTGGTTCACATGAAAGCATCAATTGAAATAGCTAGCATAAAAAGATTTCAAAATTTTTGGACTTGGTCTCTGCGAGATATTTAACTTAAAAGTATAGGCTAGAGTCTGTTGGTCGAAAACTTTTGAATGCACATCTGCTTAGTTAAAATTTTTGGCATTGGAATCTAAACTTTACTCGTAATAACAATGAAATTTGTTATTTATCATCTGGTAATCACTACGAATACCACTACTAATACACCCTACGCCTTACTGAGTTCATTAGAAATATTCGATGTTTTTAGAAATAGACCATAAGCACGAACTTCTTTATGGTAGACATATCTCACTAAGATCTACAAGATGCGCTAAGTTCCGATTGATAAGCAAATTAGCATCTGAAAAAATTCTTGATATTCGATAAGTTATCAAAACAATCGAAATATTTATTTTTTATTTTTGATGAATTTAAGAAAACGATAAAAAGTTCGTTTCATTTATTCAAGTTTAAAAGTATTGTGATTGTGAATGTTGACTCATTGAATAATCTAGACTATTGTGATTCAATGGTAACGGTGGTGGTTTTGTTGTATAATGTTTCTGTTGTTGACATTGTGAGTAATCACTACTACTTGAACTTGTATAACTTCGAAATGTTTTAATAGATGTTTCCATTATTTTATAATTAGCAGCTTGTAATTGTCCTTGAAGTTTAAGTAAATGAGTATGATTTGATTTACCATCGAGTAAAGATGAAACTTGATTAATAAAAGTAAATAATTTATCAATTGATCGTTGAGATAAACGACGTTGAAAAATACTACGATTATGAATAATTTCATGAAGTATATTAAATAAACGATCAATAGGATCAATAAAATGAATATTAGCAGCATATTCACGATGATTATCATTGACTATTTCTATATTTTCACAATATTGACGAAGACGATAACATAATTTATCCAATATACGTGAAACACAAGAATTTGATGAAGCTAAACGATTTATTATCACTTTAATTGTGCAAAGAATCCTGTCGGATGAGGTAATCTACTCAGAATTGAGAAAGTAAATATACTATGTTGTAGAGCAAGTCAAGTAATATCGAATAGTATATAATAAGTCTTATTTTTCATAAAATTTTGAAAGAACTATAATCGATCTACTGATGGATTTTGTAAAGTTTTTCACGGATGATAAATTCATATACTTAACATCTTCAATAGGCAAACAGATGTGACCAGACATTAAATTTTCTGAGAAATTTTCCACAATGTATCACTACATAAGACACTATTTAGAAGTTCTCCATAATGAGTGTGTGATGTCAAAAATATTCTTGCATTGAAAAATCCTATCGTGTTGGTATATTGACCCTTATTTTTTACGCACGTATTTTTTCTGTCAAATTTCAACTTGTGCACATAGACTAGAGGATAAAATTTAGAACAAAATGATTGAGGATTACTAGTCAAATTTTGGTGAAACCATATTTAGTTAAAATAAAAAATCGTTCGTTGCAGTTTGTTACGCTAATTCTGGATAGCATGTTTATTATGAATCAGAATTGAATTTTAGTAGTCGAATTATTGAAATAGAATATTCAAAAAGAAACATTTATGTAAAAATTGGTTCAGGTGTTTCAATGGAAGATTATTGTGGACAACGTCTGACAAAATTTGATCTCTGGTCGACATTCTTGAAGACATCAATACTCGTTATCAGTAAAAAAAAATAGTGGTAAACCATTGAAAAACTACATTTTTTCCTATCGAAAATAGAATGATCAAAGATGTTAAGTATATGAGCTTGTAGCCTGTGAAAAGCTCTACAAAACTGTATATAAGAAAAATCTATTGGTAAATAGATTCTAGTTTCTCTGAAGTCTTATGAAAATAAAACTTACTATATATATATCATTCGACACATTTCTACATGCTCTACAACGTAGTATATTCGATTTTTCAATTCTGTATAGTTGTCCTAATCTAAAAGGATTCTTTTTTCTCTACTTACCTAATGAAATAATCATTTCATGAATAAAATAAACATGATTATCTGTAATATGATCAAGTATATCAAATAGACAATCAAGAAATTTATTAATCATCGGTAAAATATCAAGAACAATATGATATGGTTTATCATTATCAGTTTTAAGATTATTAGCTATAATTTGTATTGTATAAAGACATGCATCAATTGGTATTGTTTGATAATTGATATCTGTTGTTGTTATTATCCATTTCGTTAAAGTATTAAGTAAAAATTCTACATCATCAATTTTTATTTGATATTTTTTATCTTTTAATTGAAATACTTTCTCAGCAAATTCACCATATTCATATTCATTTGTTTGTTTTTTGTTGAGATCATCGTTATCAATTGTAGCTGTTGTAAAATCCATGAAAGAAATACTCGACGTTAATTTTGTATGAGATGGAGGAAAACGAGATAAAAGATCTTGTTGACGAAGAATAAGATGTTCATCAAGTATGGATACAAGTTGACTTGAATGATTGGATCGAGGAAATAATCGTTTCGATAATATACGTGTAAAAACATCTGGTGTAATACCATCTGGTGTATTACGTATAATTGCTATTGCTAATGATAATTTTTTAAAGAGCTCAACATTAATTATTTGTAAATCCATGGATTAAAAATCGATGAACTAGATTAAAATGAATGAATACAAAGAAACGCGACTCATTTCAAAACAACCAATCATTATGAAGATTTTCATATCCGAAAGAGGACACTGGAGTTTTATAGAAAAATGAACAGATTACATGATAAAGAGAAATACTCAAAAAAAAAACAATCAGTTTCGATTTAAGAAACGAATGGTTTCTAGTCAAAAACATTTCCTCACTTGATAGTTCGAGTATTCAGTTATGAAAAATATACTGTATGAAACGAAATATTATCGAGCGCCCACAAAATAAATGTCTCTCTAACCATTGTCTCAATATCGTTATAGGTTATCGTCATTTTGGAAAGATTCGCAATTAAATTCTGTATAAGAACGTATTACGAGTAAAATCTTTGTACCAATACGTGCCATGTAAATAAATTAGTTCTTTTTCCGAACTTTATAAAAATAATGGTTTTGAATCAGCAATTGTGAGACTCTCAGAAAAATTCGGATTGATTGACAAAAAAAATAGTCAATATAACTCAAGTTTATTTCGATTTCAAGAGAAATGATTCGTGTAGCAGACTGAAATGCTATAATTTGAATAGAGCTCTGTATACGGATACAGCATACAAAATAAGCTAAATTTTATGTGTTTCTGGCTTGCAAAATAACCTCTCCAGGTGTCAACCGGGACATCGTTCGTCAGATCTCGAGATTTTATTAGACTTGTCTACAAAAAAAGCTGTGATTCTTCTCAGATCACGTCGAAAATAGACTTTTCACTTCAAACTTTGCATGAATAAAGTTCTTAATAAGATTAGGTGATTGCGTAGCTTTTAGCTTTTCTATTACTTCCTTTCTGTAAATATAGATAAATAAACAGAGTTCGCTTTTACATATACGAAACTTTTGGGTATTGGATATCCGAGAATATGAGATACTAGAAAAGTTACAAGTTAATCAATGAACTAATTTAATTAAAAAATTTGTTTGTGCAAAGTTTCAAATCGGAGTTCTCACTTGACTTGAAGGGACGAAAGTTTTTTGTTGCAACATTCAGCGAAATTTCAATATCTTGAGAGTGAAGTTTCAGAAATTCAAACCATTCTAGACACGTGACTTTTTGGATCAAGCACTAAAGTGCCTACTCATTTCATGACTTGATTTAGTCATTCGAGTTAATTCAATTCACACTATCCTTAACCATAAATCGAAGATTTATCAGCAACCATTTATTCATATAATCATAGGAAAGTAAACAGGTTTGATCATGGTCAAGCGATTTATTGCACTTGAGAATAGGTCACTGAATGGAAAAGCAAAATTGTTTTACTAAGAGAACTCGTTTTTAAGGGCTCCCCCCCCCCCTCAGAAAATCCAATTTTTCGGAGATGAGTCGAAATTGAAGTTTTATCATAGGAAGATGCACTGAAGTCTCCTCTTTCAGAATATCTATGTTTTATCGAAAAATGAATTGATTTTGACGAACTTATCGTCTAAAACTTTGCTCCTACTATCATATTTTTCGAGAAATTTTCATGGTGTTTTTTCAAGGTTTTTCGACTTTTTAGGCTGCTTTCTCTTTGCATCATCATTTCGTAAAGTTGTTTTTAAATACTAATCACTAACGAGGGAACATACGCAAGGGTAAAATCGCTTTTGAGTCAGAAGTGGGCGCATCATGTAGGTCTTAGTGAGCTATGAATACCCTGAAAAAAGTTCGGGCTGTTGGTTTATTGCTGCCGAGATATTACATTTTTACGGTATTCTTTTTATCACAATGCGGTGATCCCCATCAGGACTCTCAGAAAACCTAAGTTTTGAATTTCGACCTGAAACTTTGCACAGTGGTAGACTATAACGAGAATAGTTTATTGTGAAAGCTTCAGATTTTTTATTCCTTCTATTATGAAACAAGAACGAAAGAATATATCGGTGTATATTGGGAAGTACTATTACCGTAGTCCTGTCTTACCCATGTAAAAATGATCGTTAAATCGACGATTTAACGAAAATTAACGTTACCTTTTTGTCCGCAAAAACGTGTTAAAAATCGGCGTTTTAACGAACTTTCATGCGTTATTCGACGTTAACATCTGAAAAACGGAGAAAAACGCATGAAAGTTCGTTAAAACGCTGATTTTTAACGCGTTTTTACGGACAAAAAGGTAACGTTAATTTTCGTTAAACCGTCAATTTAACGATCATTTTTACATGGGTAGGATAGCAAGAATAAAATGATCTGAAACTTTTACAATAAACTCTTCTCATTATGATCTATCTCTGCGCAAAGTTTCAAATCGAAATTCGAAACTTAGTTTTTTGAGGGTCTTGAGGGGAACCACGGCATTCTAATAAAAAATGTCGCAAAAATACAATATCTTGGTAGCAATAAACCAATAGCCCGAACTTTTTTCAGGGTATTCATGGCTCACTAAGACCTACATGACGAACATACTCCTGATTCAAAAGCGATTTTACACTTGCATACGCTCCCTCGTCAGTACATAAATGAAAATAGCAAAGAGAAATTGTTGTTTCCGAACATGTAATTATAAAAATTATATATACGACAAGTAAAAATCTAAAATAATGATAATATTGATGAGCCCTAAATTCATCTATATACATATAATAAATATCAAAAAAATAAAAAATAAAAATATTTACCAAATACTGTTGAAGATGAAAGACAGTTGAGTAAAAATACAACCAAATGGAAGAATACCACTGGTTAACATACTTAATAATGGTTTAGTGTAAAAAGGCTGTTCAGGTATTTGTCGTGGAACTTGATTAATTGGAACAGGATTTTTATAAACCTTTATTTTAAGAGAAATTAGATAAAAAGAAAAATATTTTTCATTCTTACTGAACGTTTGAAACCAAGATAAGCTCCAATGAATACCCATGGTGTTGATATGCAGAACCAAAGAGCAAGTAATGCTGAACATGTGGTACGTGGAATAGTTGCTGAACTAACACTTGCCCAAAGAAGAAGATTTAAAAAAAACAACATGAGAAAAATTAAGCTGAAATAAACAAAGAAATAATTTATTTTTAGAAAAAAAAACCAAACAATTTAAATGTTACCTTGGACATGTAACAGCTGTTGTTAGAGCAATTTTCTTCCAATTTGTACCGCCAAACACTACGAAAAATCAATTAGTCATTTTATAATAAATATTGTCTCCTACTTTTATATAAACGAGCTGAAGTATAACCAGCTGGAATGCCCAAAATAACATAACATAGGATAAGACCTTAATGATTCAAATGAAATAGATAGAAAGAAAAAGAACGGAATAAAATACTTACAAGTCAGTAAACCATCAGGTTTGTCTGGTGAGAGAAAACCAAGTGTAGCGAAGACTAAATAAAAAAATTTTGAAAAAAAAATTGAAAATAAACAAAACTATCTACCTAATGTGATTAAAAATGTCATTGCAATTTGAACACCTTTACCAACAAGAGTAGACAAAAGTATACATTATTGTGGTGGACGAAATACATCACCATCAATTCTATCATTTGAAAATAAAACAGAATAAAAACAAAAATAACATAAGATTTTATAAAGAATAGATCAATATTCAATCTTTTTTGAATAAACTGTAACTGACTTGGACATTTATTTCTGATATCTCTACGATTAGATCTTCATATCACTAATCAAAATCTTGAAGAACTTTTGATTATGAGCTGTTTATAAACAAGAGATTCTTGAAAATTCAAAGAAAAGAGTTTGAAACGAAATTTTACTCATTGACTGATGTCATTTTCTTTGTTGGAATTCGAAAATAATTTTGAAGATGTAGATGTTATTTCTTTATTATTTGTATTCAGCGACTAACACACCTTAAATTATTCGTATTAGATCTTCTTATTTATCTGTGACATACATTTAATACCTGATTGTTTTACTAAAAGATTTTCGAACATTTTAATAACCATGAGATCTACATATAGACAAAGTGTTAGCTTTAAATTTCTTTATCTATTTCTGAAAAGTTCTTTGCTGAATGTTGAAAATCGATATAAAAGATGATAAGTAGTTTGAGTTGAAAGTATATAGTTAAGTGAAGTATTAGTACCAAAAGTCAGCAGTTTGAAAGATAATAAATCTACGAATCTTCGTATTCGAAATATTTTACTATACAGAAAGTACATAACCTCAACAACAATGTCAAAAAACTGACTTGTATGCAATACACGATCAAAATAAAGACATGAAATAGATAAATCCTTACAGCTTCCATCCAAATTGTTCTTTTGCACTACCCTATATAAAAATAAAACAATCATAAATATAGATTTAATTTCTTCAACTTACAGTACCAACTATTCGACTATAACGCGGATTATCTTTACATAATATATGGAAAAGAATAGTAGCAACTATACCCGAAAGAAATAAGACAACGACAAGCGAATTTAAAATTGAAAACCATTGAATATGTGTTTGTGGTAATGATTTAATAGGCCCGAATCCTGGTTGATTAAATGCACTGATTGATGATAATAATAGAATTAATAAAAAGAAATTTGAATTTCTTATTGCCATATTAATAATATTTTCTTCTGAATTGAAGAAAATAATTCATAAATATATTTTTGTTTTAATAAGTTATTTTGAAAAAAAAAAGAAAACTCAAGAAAAAAAATCAACTCGCTTTGTCCTCCCTTTTTCTCTTTCAACTCTAAAAAATTAAGATACGTCAAGAGTATTATACTATGTTTGTTTTGCTGAAATGTCTAAAATTGACTATCCATTGACACTTGATATGTCTAACTGAGACACATAATGCGTCTTTTTTTTTTTAGACACGTGATATATTCTAGCTAATATATTAAATATCAATGGGTAATCAATCTTAAGCACTCTAGGAAAACTAGACGAATGAAACATCTTGTAAGATACGCAGCATTTTTTTATGATGTCAATCTGTACACATAATATATACAACTCTTTTCAATTGTCGAATCTCCACGAAGTACAGATGACAAGAGGTGAAAAGGAAGTAAAAGTGCATTGGAAAAAAAAGCAAAGAATAAGAGGAATGAAAAAAAGAGTGCAATAGAAGCAAGGTAAATATACTCTATTCCATATATTGCATCTAACAAATGTATTTTTTTCTTTTTTTCTCATCTCTTTTTATAAATCAAAACTATAAAAAAACACTGTTAGGAGAGCATTTTTTTCGACTTATATTTAATTGAGCAATAAAATAACTTAAATAAACAATTATTATATTGAATGAACAATAATTATGTTGAATAAGCAGTAGTTCATTTTAATAAAAAATAAGTTGTATATAAAAAGGGCAATATTGATTCATTTATTTACACAAATAGGTATTTTTTCAATTTTATTAAAGAGAATACATAATTTATGCAAATGGCTCAATCACAAAGCGTAACGCAATATTGGTGTGGGTGTGGATGTGGATGAGTTCAGTCGGCATAGGTGTTGTATATCAGTATTTTTTTCACCCACACCGACATCCATCCTGTAGTTTTTCTATTTTTTGTTGCTAAAATATGAAGTTACTACTGCTATTTAATAAGTTATTTATTGTTCATTTAAAATATGATAAAATTGCTTAAATAAACTTTTCTTATTGCTCAAAAATTATTGCTAAACTGTATTTGAATTATTACTCATTCCAATATTTTTATTGCTCAAATAAATATAAGCCATTTTTTTCAACGTGCTTCCGCTTTTTTTTTGCTCAAGTTATGCACAATCGATCTGTAGAATAAAAAAAAGCATTGATGTGCCATGTCTCAACGGAAAATAATTACCTAAACAAAATAAATAGAATGTCATGAGACAAATCAATAAATATAAAAAGGAATAACATTCACTGATGTCTATTCAAGCAACCAATCATTGAAAAGCTCGTATGACACTGTCAACATAATAGATTTTTTTTCTCATAACTATATAATATTGATCAGCGGCGTAGCCAAGGGATGAGCCAATGAGCAATTGCCCGTTTCATTTGGAGATTTGCCCATTGAAATTTTACTTTTTCAGAATGGTTTATTTATTTTTGAATTAGATAGTAACTATTTTTTTCTTCCGTCTGAATCACACATGCACTTTTTGCTCGTGCTTTCTGTAAATAATTAAGAAAAGAAGGAAAGAATCGCTTCTAATTCCCTAGACTGAAAGGATAGGGTCTAGAAACCGAAATTCACCTGTGTCTGTCTGTCTGAAATATAGTTACCATATGGTAACTATGGTCGTCAAAATAATATATATATCGAACGGCGCCAAAAGGTAATAACGAACGTTTTTTCTATTATCGAATATTGATAAAATTAAAAAGAAGAACGAATCTGCAAGTTCTTACTATTCAGTTCTTTTGTGAAACACGATCTGAAAGGAGTGTTGAAGTGTTTAGGGGTAGAAATTTGGACCCTCCCCTCCCCCCACACAGACCGTGACAGAGAAATTCTATACCCATCACAGACCGTGACAGAGAAACCCTTGTACCCATCACAGACCGTGACAGAGAATCCCTGGAGACCATCACAGACCGTGACAGAGAACCCCCGAAGACCATCACAGACCGTGACAGAGAATCCCACAGGCCGTGACAGAGAACCCCTGGAGACCATCACAGACCGTGACAGAGAATATCTAAACCCCTCACAGATTGTTACAGAGAAACTGTAGTTTTGAAAGATCAAAAACGAAAACAATAAGCTAGAAATCTATTGTAAAGAAACGGAAGAAAACGAAGTCTGTTTAATTAGTAACAGTAGGGCCATCGTGTTTCACATTTTTAATCCTGCAAGGGATTGCGCTAACAGCTTTTATTACTATACAAGTTATAATAATAACAATTAATTGTAGTGAATGTTTCCTATAATTTAATTGTGATTTTACGGAATAATAAACAATGAAAAATTTAGCGACAATTATCTTTTTTTTCTGCGAAATTAAGCAATATAATTTTTGTTTTTGTTTTTATTTTTATTCGTTCAGCTTGATAAAATGTAATTTTGGAAAAAAACTGTAATCATTAATATACAGGCTTCGTAGTCGTCCTATATTTCCTATATTTCCTATATATCGCAAAGTCCTCCTATAATTTCCTATTTTCGAGGCATTTTTCCTATAATTCCTATATATCTGAAAAAAATGACGAAATTTCACTAAAAATTCATTTTGAACGCTAGATTCATGATTTAGAGAAGTACAAATGTATATATACAGTGCTGGCCAAAATTATCCACGCATCAGATCTCATCCACTACAAGTGCTGTTGCTCTGAAAACTAGATTCTCTATATAGATCTCGAATAATGCAGGTTAGCGACGAAACTCACGCCTCCATATCCTCAGTCACTAGAGAGTTACGATGCATGTGGTTCATTTCAATTGTGGACGTCATGCCTCCAGAACAACAAATCCTTATGAGCTGCGAGACACGTTATTTTGTAGCTCTGTACACTGGCTATTAATAGTAAGAATTTTATCAAAATTCATTGAGTTTTTGTGAAGCTAGGTCCATTTTACTGTAAGGATGGGTATGCTCAGAACTCGTCAAATCTCATTGTATAACCCATAATTCAGTATGGCTTCAACAGATCGACTTCAAACGTACAGAAAAGATAGGCTCACAAACCCTTATTGCTCTCCAAAATTGTGAAACTTCTATCACATACTATAGAGAGAAATGGCATTATGCTCAAGTTCGGGATATTGCCATAGATCTAGGTACTCGAATACTCAACCAATTGACCTCATCTTTTGGGCACATAACTAGCATGTAAGGGGGAACAGTCCTACCAAGAAAAAGTTAGAAAATTCATTAGATATCATGGAAAGCAAAGCATAAACTTTTATAGTCAAATTTTCCCTCATTCTGACAAAGCTGAGGTAGGTAGAGAGTGAGAATAAGGATTCGTATCCTCTTCACAGTTACATACCAATTTTTACTTATATTCTTACTCCCACGCTTACTCTGATTCATCATTATGATGAAAACTATCAGAAGACCCTTGACAGATTTGAACTAGATAGATAAATTCTTTTTAATTCTTTTGTATAACGTTTTTTTTTGACACTGTTAAACAAAACAATAAAAGGTCGTTAGAATGAGGGAAAAACTGACTATAAAAGCTTATGTTTTGTTTTCCATAATATCTAATGAATTTTCTAACTTTTTCTTAGTAGGGCTGTTCCCCTTACATGCTAGTTATGTGCCCAAAAGATGAGGTCAATTGGTTGAGTATTCGAATACCTAGAACTATCCCATGTGAAAATTTAAGCAGAAAAGCTCGCTTAAAGTAGCTTAAATTTCTCGCTTAAAAGCGCTGAAAAGCGCACATTTTAAGCCGCTGAAAGCGCTTAAAATTAGGTTTTTAAGCACTTTTAAGCGCTTACAGTTAGATATCTAAGCACTTTTAAGCGCTGGAATCAGTAAGCGTTGCAAGGGCTTAAAAGCGCACATTTTAAGTAGCTGAAAAGCGCTTGCAGTCGCATCTTTAAGCGCTTCTAAGCACTGGATTTCAACGAACGGACATTCGTAGATGATTCGCTCTGACTGCCATCACAAGGTACCTGTATGCAGAGTACCACTAGAATCTCATAACCCTAAAAGGACTGGGTCTTGTCCATATTTGATTCAGATAATGACTTCTTCCCAAACTCCTAAACTAATAGCTTTCGAAAAGAAACATATTTTTGAACTTCGTCTTGCAACTTTGCATACTCGAAGGCCTTAATGAGACTATTTCATACACAAAATTTCATAAATTTTCAGTACTGCAATGTCAGCATATGAATTTCTCAAGATATCTGTATTTTGTACAATACTTGAAAGTGTATATTTTTTGAGAAATTCACATCCTGACATCTCAATACTCAAAATAAATGAAGTTTCGTATATGAGATAGTCTCATTGAGACTTTCACGTATACAAAGTTCGAAGTCGAAGTCCATATATATGGCTTTCTCATAAGCTATTAGTTCAGAAGTTCGGTAAGAAGTCATTATCTGGATTAAATATGGATAAGACTGAGTTAGGCAAAAAACGAAGGAAAAACGCGTCAAAATTTTAACGAAACTAAAATCACGAAAAACGTACATGTTTCGGATTTCGTTTTCGTTCAAGAAGTTTAACAAGTTTTTACAAGTTTGATTTCTGAACTAAGTAAATTGTTTGAGAAAATTTTTCTATTCATACACTTGCTTTGCATAAAAAATAGTTCAGACGAGTTCTTAGTTATTACAATTTATTATAATCTTTTAACAATGTCTTATTATTTTAATTCTGTACTGTAAGAACCTCTAGTTTGTGATAGAGATTCTTACAATACAAAATTAAAATAATAAGACATTGTTAAAAGATAATAAAAACTTGTAATAACTAAGAGCTCGTCTGAACTATTTTTTTACGCAAACTAAGTCTACGAATAGAACAATTTTCTCTAACAATTCACTTAGTTCAGAAATCAAAACGCCTAGTAACGAGTGAAACTGTGCGATAAAAACTATTCTGACTTCAAGAATCTCATCTGATCACAAGACGTTGCGTGAAAGTAACAT